CACTGAGCCATCCAAGTGGCAGCTCAGCTTAAGGTGCCGAATTCAGTCTTAGTTGCAGGTGGGTGTAGCCCAACATCAAACAGGCAATCTTGTTGTTAGGAGCACATGCTCTTACCAGCTGAGCCATCCTGCTGCCTGTCGGTAGCTCAGCGACAGCTCAGCTTGGGCGCAGCGTCACTGGCCCATGTGGGAATCAAACCGGTGGCCCTGTTGCTCAGAGCTCACGCTCTTAAGGCTAACTCTTAACCAACTGAGCCACTCGGCCGGCCCGTCTTTTCACTTTCTTGATGGTGCCCTTTGATGCACAAGTTTTTAAGTGAAATTCAGTGTATCTGTTTCATCTTTGGATGGTTTGTGCTGTTTTTAGTGTTGTATCTAAGAAACCATTGCCTAACCCAAGGTCACAAAGATTTATTCATTTTCCCTTAGGAGTCTCAGCTCTTTATGTTTTAACTCTGTGGTTTTCTTTGAGCTAATTTTTGTGTTTGGGTGTGAGATAGGGGTCCAGATTCCTTCTTATGTGGATATCAAATTGCCCCATAATCATTTGTTCAAAAGGCCTTAGTATTTATTTAAACTTTATTTATTGGTAATACAAATTGCAGAGAATAGTATGAATCTCCACGCACCCAAGTATATCCAATTCTTGTTTCCTTTACCATCTCCCCCAATCTTTTTTTCCCATTTCTTTCTAGAATATTTTAAATACAATCCCATTATTTTTAACAGTTTTCCAGGTGAATCTAATGTGCAGCCAAGGTTGAGTTACTGTTGGAAGAGAATCATCCAAATCTTTCACATAAATTTAATACTTTGAAATCATTTTGAAATGTACTCACCTAGAAGAGGGAGCTAAAGGTTATCGATTTAAAAATGAAACATTTTAACACCACATCTAACTCGATCCTAATCTGCCATCAAAATCATGTACTGCTGTGGCTATTTCCTGATCTGTGAAAATCAGGGAGTCAGCTCATTCTCTTAATCAGTTTGCATCAGCACTAACCGCTGTGGACAGCCCCGTTCCCTGTGGGATTAGATGAGTTACACCGGGCACCTAGCTGCTTCAGTCCCCTCTGCCTCCTGACTCGGCTTTGTCTTCCAGGTACATCCCCACCGCCGCGGCGTTCGGAGGGCTGTGCATCGGCGCCCTGTCCGTGTTGGCTGACTTCCTGGGGGCCATTGGCTCTGGCACTGGAATTCTGCTCGCAGTCACTATTATTTATCAGTATTTTGAAATATTCGTTAAGGAACAGGCTGAAGTAGGCGGGATGGGTGCTTTGTTTTTCTAAATGTTCCCATACTTCTTTTTGTGTGTGTGAAAGGGAAAACATTTCGACATTGTTCTTGTCAAATGCTGGTTCCCCTTTTCTCCCATTTGTTTTCAAGTGCTAACTGTCCCATTTCTGAAATGGGCACCACGCTACGCCTGTGTGCAGCATTAGTACCAGCTGCCTTAAAACTAAAGTTTACATTATTCGTTAGAAAATGTACCTGTAGTGTTGCCTGTGATGCTGGAAACCAGTGTACCCGCCTTGCCGTGTTCCGTTGTGACGGTGAGATGGTGACGTGGATCAGTTTTGCACACAACATTCAAAACACTCAGTATTCCCCCCCACTTGTTTAAAAATAAATGTAGTTCAGATTGCCACTTTCCAGTATTTTTGGGCTTATTTAATGAGTTCTGGAACATTTATATCTAATCTATATTTTAGATATAATTACTTTTTATACTTTTTAAACTCATAGTATCCATGTTCCAACCCCCCTCTCCGGCCCTCCCTTTATTTGTCCCTTCTCAAAGCAGCCACTTAGCCCAGAGGGGCACATCAAGCTTCAGAGTTCCTTCTGTCCCTAGAAACAACTTAGAATTACTCTTCCTGTTTTCCATCCCTTTCTTCCTAGTGACAGCGCGGTCGGTGCTGTTTTTACTGTATTGGCTATGCCTTTGAATTCCAAGTACCTTGAGAATGCTTTCAAGATACTATGCCCCAGTTTTTTCTTCCTCTTAAATCCCTAAAGCAAAGATCTAATTCTCAAGCAATGTCTGTAGCTCAGTGGGGGTGAACAATGAGTAATTCATGCTAGGAATCTGTGTACGTTATTGTACTTTATAGCAACAACATGAGTGTAAACAGTAGACAATAAACTTTTATTTCATACAACTTTCAGTTGTGTTGGCAAAATAAAAAATCTGGTATTAAATGTTTTGTACAGGTTTTTTGTAGGTTCATTATATTAATCATATAAAATCCATCCTGAGATGCTTATTGCCAAGGGTCACATGTAATCAATTTACTATTTAATCCTAAAATACTGAGGGACAGTGACCAACTTAAGGTTACTCAGTTATGTGACTAACATTTGGAAAGAACAGGGAAACAATGGTCTCAGATATCCCAGCCTCCATTTGAAATAGCAGTTCTTTGTCAATAATTCATTTTTTAAAGTATGTGCATTATTGTCCAGAAAGAGGAAAAACTTAATTTTTGAGATATCCTTTTCAGAAGTATGGTTTTCCATCATTGTTTACCTTCTTAGTAAGTGCAGGAAGTAAACCCTATTTCACGTAGTATCACACAGCCAAGTAACGACAGGGCCAAGGCAGGCAGGACAGTAACGAACGTCAGCCTGAGAATACCTTTCAGGGCTGCAGGCCATCGTTATGGTAGAAATAGGGACCCAGTGTTATATCTGATTTTTTTTCCCCAAGAGGAGGTAAAAATGCTTTTATAGGACACCTTCAACTTAAATGCTGACACATTAACAGTGCCAGCCAATGAAAATGTCCAGACAGCCAGTTCTCAAACTAATTTCCAAAGCATAGCCTTTGGTGTATTTATAGATATCATAAATGGCATTAGGGGTATGTTCTAGGATTTAGCTATCACTTCTAAATTGCACTCAGTTAGGAGGAGTAAAAAGCAGCAGGGACAAGTAAGAGGTTACAAATCTCTCTCCATCAACAGTTAAGAGTAGGTCTCTCGGGCCGGCTGAGTGGTGTGATGGTTGAGAACTGGCTTGGGATGCCAGAGGGCCCCGGTTCGGATCCCACATATGAGGGCCAGTGACACTGCCCTCTACAGCTAAGATGCTGAACAACAGCGAGCTGGGCTGCCGTGAGTCACCAGCGACGGCGGAGGCTGCAGCCCCTGCGGCAGTGGGTTGCCATGGGCTACCGTGTGTAGCCAGCATGAGTGGCCAAGCAGCCGCAGTAAGCGGCTGTCCAGAAGCCGGCGACTGATCTGCCTCGCCCGGGAAGAGCGCAATGATGGTGCCAACTTGGGCCAGTGAAGCAACGTCCTCCACAACTAGACTGAAGAACAAAAGGACAGCAACTTGTCTGTTCCCCTTCCCCCAATTCCCCAGCGCTGTTCCCATCCCCACAATTCCCCAATAAAAATCTTAAAAAAAAGAGTAAGTCTCTCAGTTCCCATAGGGAGTGGGTTTGGAAGAACTGGAGAGACTGGTCTGTGCTGGAGTCATATTTTACATATGCGTTGTCTCTTCTTGATTTTTGAAGGAGGGTAGTACAGGGAAATTATAGGATTTGGTCCTTGAGAGCTCAGGGAAAAAGATTAAGAACTCTGGGGAATCATGACGCCCATGTTTAAAAACAAGGATTTTTAAAAAGAGGTTAGAGGCACAGGGGAAGGCTACTATTAGAGCAAGTAATTGGGGGCTTAATTTTCACAATATTTATGAGGAGAGTAGACTTGATCTCTGTAGTTCTGTGGTTCCATAATTCTTTCCGTCCTTGTTGAAGTACAATATAAAGATCTTATATTTTTGCTCAAAAGTATCTCTGGCAAAGACAATGAACCTGTGGACAAATGAACTATATTGCAGCATTCTGGGCATTAGTACGCCAATTATTACCTGGTTCTGTGGGGCCTTGCTTGACCCCTGGGTCCAGGGCTGGAATCATGACTTAGGGCTGGCCAATGAGAATCATCCTGAGACTTGTGGGGTGGGCAGCTAAGCTGAAAAGGCAATGATCCTGGAGCTACTGGAGGCCATAAGTCAACCCAAGAGCTAAGGTCAGTCAAGAAGTAAGGATGGGAGTGACTAGTTAGCTCCCTTGGTTAGAGCATGGTGCTGGTAATACCAAAGTTGCCAATTCGATCCCCGCATGGGCCACCAAGAGCTGCACCCTCCTTTAAAAAAAAAAAAGTCAACTATGTATAGGCAATGACCATGGCTGTTCCCCAATAAAATTTTAAAAAATAAAGAAGATGGCCCAGTAGTAACCCTGGTAGACCTTTTGGATGCACGAGCCAGAAACAGTCCATTTTTTCCTTTAAATAGTTTGTATTGTGTTTCTGGTACTTGCTAACCTTGCTGGCTACACTCATGGTTTAACACCAAGACAATACTGCCCCAAACTGTATAAATCTTGTTACTATGCATTTGCCTTTTAGAAACTTCAAGTACTTTTTGAGGTAAGGATAGGAAATGAGATTCTAAAGTATGTCCACATGCTTAAGGGAAGGGCCCTGTATTTTCATTAGCCTCTTGACACAGTGAGTGGAATCAACCATTTTTCATTACATAAGAGCTGGTTTACCTTCAGTAATAGCTAGATGGATATAATGACAATAGCTACATGTAAACATTTCCTTATCACAAATGTTACTGATTTTATATCCTCTGCGATGCAGATTAATTCTATATAGTAGATAATTCAGTTAGGAGGGGCCAAGAAAGTCCCAATGTTTCTTTTAAAACTGTTTAAACACTAATGTAGTAAAGAGTTATTTGCACATAGAATTTTGTGTTGTGGGTTGCGGGTGGCAAATTGCTGACCTAATTTGGAATTCAGATTTCCTACAAAAATACCCCTATCTCCTGGACTAGATTAGAAAAGTAACAGATGAAGTTAAAAACAAAAACTGGATAAACATATCTGCGTTTATGTTCTTTTTCATTAATATTAGCTGGAGTTGAGCATTTAAATGAAAGCTACAGCCTACCTGTAATTATAATTCCATACCACCACGTGCATTTTTTGTTGCCTTTATTTTATGAAAAAGCTAATTTCAAATCTACATTAAACTAAACTGAATACAAAGTCTTAGTGAAGGAGGCCTGGGGGCCTCATTTACAAAAACATGGCCACTGTGCTCTGGCCTTAAAATTTCAGGAAGGGCACTTCGAACGGCTTTGTGTTTGCATGTTTCAGCGCCAGAGCGTAGGAATAGACCCTGGCATCCACTATCAGATGTTCTTCAGCTACCAGAGCTAGAGGAAGCAAAGGATACAAGTCAGACAATGATGCTACTAAAGGGGAGTAGCTCTTATTCAATCGGTATGTACTGAGCAGCTCCTATGTGCCAGTTCTATGCTACATGCTGGTGATACCGCGGTGAACAAGACATTTTTTGCCTTCAAAGCTCTTACTGTAGTGAAAGAATAAAGGATATGAAAGTAGGAATACATACATTTCCAGATGAGACAAGAACAAGAAAAAAATGAAGAATACAAACAAGAGCACATGGAACAGAGATGACGTGTTAAAACAGGAAAACTTTGTAGATCCAATTGTTACTTCATTTGTAGCTCACTATTGGGCTTTGCAACTCTTAACCTTATTACACAGGGCTTTAATGAGAACTTTGGTTTCACTCAGATGGAAGTTATCAGATGTCAAATCTGTCTCTTATTTTCCTAGCCACTCATTTAGAACAAGCTCAGAGACACTTTGATCCTTGAAGGCAGGGTTATGTCCTACTCATCTGCATGGCAGGTGCTTGGTAAGTGCTAAAAGCTATTCCTTGTAGCAAACTGAACTCTAAATACCTTTTCCAACTTCTCAAATGTTACTTGTTGAAGAAATGACTTGATTACTATATTGTGATTCTAGTAAAGCTAGGCAAACTGGCTTTTACCCCTGCTCCCCCCATATAGCCTTCTCTACCTTCCTCCCCCTCTTTCTCTATATTTTCCCTTCTAAGGCCAGAAGGAAAGTTTAATTAGGTGAAAGGGAAAAGGAAAGATTTTTGTTTTTAAAGAATACTTTCCTAATATTAAAAAATAATAGAAGATACAGCATATAACATTTAAGTGCTATGTGCCAACATTCTCTCATTTTCTTTTACTTATGTCTCCTCAGAGATAGGGGCTGTCTGTTGTTCCTGTTACATGACAAAAGCTTAGAGGCCCTGGAACTTGTTCAGCTGGACCTAATCCACAGTCGGCTGTGCCTCAAATCCTGTCAGACACGTCTCACTCCCAGAGACAGCACGCCTTCTCTGAGTCTATGCCTAATAAATGACTGAGTCTTTTCAGTATGAGTATTTCTAACTCTGGTTTTGAATCTGCAGGTGGTTTTTACCTTAGATCTAGTTTTTTTAAAAGTATAGTAGGAATGGCAACTTTCTGGGAACCTGAAATCAGTGTTTGAAAGATCCACTTTACTTTCCACACAGACAACACAGACATTAGAAATAGAACTGTAAGCCGCCGGTACTTCTGGGAGGAGGAGATTGCTCTCAAAGCTCCAGGTCCAACAATGCTTCAAGTTAACTTTTGAAGTAAAAAATGAGTGAATGTGGACCTACCAAGCAGCCTGAGGAGCTCTGTGAAGGGCCTGGTCCTGTTTTCAGTACACTACATCCTACTGTGGTTCCATCAGGGACATCTGTCCCACATAACCTACTTACAGAATCCCTGCCCAGGGATGACACACTAACCACATGACCTGTAGGTTACTGCGGGTCACACATAATAGCTCATTATGTCAACACATCACACTTAGCGTATAGTACTGGGTTGTCGGAAAAGTCATGACGCATGTTTGCAACGAAAAACAGAAAAAAATACGTCATGGCTTTTCCGACAACCCAATAGCTACCTCAGTATATTTATAGAAGGGATACTGTTCAGTTCCCCTCTGATGTGTACCCTGCACAAAGAACCATCTAACATACCAGCATAGCTAAGAGGTCATTTCCTTATGCCTCTGTATCGCCATGGGTTAAAGATTTAAGGTATAAAATAGTTTTGGCTAATCAAAGGGACTATAAGCTGGACTTCTGTAGGAAAAGAGCCTCTACTGAAGGCTTTCACTTGCCAGAATGTCTTGCTCATATTTTCAAACTCTGTGCTACCCGGAAAGGGCAATTATTTATTATGAGTCAAATACAGTTTTATAATAGTTCCTATGTATTTCATTTTAAAGAGAAAGAATATAAAGAAACAATTATTTTTAGTCCCCCTTTGCTGGGTATGGGTCGGGAAAAGAGAGTTGGGTAATCTTAAGAATGCTTACCTTCAAGTCTCTTCAGCAGGTCATTCTTTGGTAAGGAAATTACCTCCACAAACTCTAAACAAAGTGCAAGTGAAAACAAAGTTGAAGAACAGGAGAGCCTACCAGAAGAACATAAAATGCCCGTAGCCCTCACCATTCCACTAAAAGACATGGACAGCCACTGGGAGCTGAGGAACATACCTCCATCTCCTACAAAGAAACAAAAGGAGGACATTTTAGCAGGGCCTGGAGTGTTACAACACAGGAGTCTTTTATGCAGGACATATCAAAAAGGCCGGAAGAATTTAACAGAAACCTGGGTCTCTACTAATTTAGTTTATATACACAGTAAAAAACACAGTACAAACATAGTACAAAGTTATCATCGTTCTCCAAATCAATTGTTTGACAGCAAAATTTAAAGCATATTCTGTAATATGTATGTATTTTTAAATTGTATGAAAGTATGCACAACACAAAATTTACCATTGTAACCATTTTTTCAGGGCATACTTCATTGGCATTAAATACATTCACATTGTTGTGTGATCATCAGCACTACCCAGAACTTTTTCATCATCCCAGTAGGAACTCGGTGCCTGTCGAACATTAACTTCATCCCAAATAGGAATGTGGTGCCTGTTAATGCTTCCTTCCCCATCCTTGGTGACCTCTGTTCTGCTTTCTGCCTCTGGGAATGCACTGACTTTAGGTGCCTCATGTTAGTGGAATCACATGGTGTTTGCCCATCTGGCTTACTTCACGGAGCATGATGTTTTCAAAGTTTATCCAAGTTATAGCATGTATCAGACATTTTGTTCTTTTATGGCTGAATATTCACTGTATGAATATACTGTTTTGTCATCCGTTCCCACCTTGTGGGGATTGTGAGTCATGCTGTGTGAGCACGGGTGTACAGGCATCTGAGCCCCTGCTTTCAGTTCCTAGGAGTATAGTTGGTCCTGAGGTGTATACCTAGGAGTGAATGACTGGATCATATGGTGATTCTGTGTAACTGAGGAACTGCTGAACTCTTTCCACAGCATGTTATATGTCTGTTTGCTAGTTTGAAAATTGAGAATTTCAAAACAGCTGCAGTGGGGTACAAAACATTTAGGAACCACTAAGGAAGATGAGAAGCGGAAGTCTCACTTGCACACATGATTTACTGTCGTGTATATATCAACTACTCCTTTAAGGGATGTGTGAGGACATGGAACGGACATACATATAAGTTTCTGAATTCAAACTTGCTAAAAAATATTCTAGAGCAAAGAATTTCCAAAAAGCTTCTCTAACTATGGAACTCAATAGGACTAGTTAATAAGCTGCTGTCCTGTAACAGTTACTTAGCCATTCTTATACATATATGAAGACAGAAATCAGAGTAACTTTGAAGATTTTCATTGTTTAGTATTTAGGCCTGTAGCTCATATTACTAAGTGAGAATAAACTCCATATAGAAAATATGGAAATATGTAATATAACATTCTATATAAAGAAAGCATAAAAACCAATGAAGTGGTAAAAGAAAAATGCTAAAATACACAACATTATAACAATAGACAAGAGTACTGAGGAAGCACCTGCAAAAGACCACTATTCTTTTAACCAGTCAAAAAGCAAACTAGTAACTAGCAAAGGTAAATAATATTCAGTGCAGTTCAACTACCTTAGACAGCCAGTGCACTCACCGGGCTTTGGCTTAGGTCGTACATTTGCAGCCTCATCTCCATTAATAGTTACTGTCATGACGTGTGTGGTACAGTTTGACAAACCTGGATCCATACTTACAGCTATGGAGAGAAGCAACAGATCATCTTTACAGACATCAGTAAGAGGTCGTTTGTCTCATGACTTAAATGTCTTCAGAAGACGGCCACTGATTTTATTGAACACAGAGTTGATGCAGGACCACTGGTTTACCCTAGTCACTTAGTATGTGCTGTAGGACTGTACGGCATATATGTAGTCAGTATTCATGACTTTCCCAGAGTTCCTGAGTAAACTTCGGTAAGTCTGAGGGGAGATGGTACTGACATGATGTAAAATTCTTTCATGACATCAAGAAAAAAAAGTCGAGAGAGTAGCATGGCATGTGGATGAGGTGAATATGTATGTATTAATAATAAAGCTTAGGATGTGGGGAACTCTGGAAGGCAACATGATTTCATAATTCTTCCCCAACTTCAGGTCTTTCTTGCTCAAACTTGCTGTTGTCGGGAGGGGAGGGTAAGTTCATGGGTAGATGGTGACCAAATCTAATTAGGATTTCTGTGAATAAGCCAAGATAAAAGAATCTGGGGGGCTGGGTGAGTGGCTCAGTTGGTTAAGAGTGCGAGCTCTGAGCAACAGGGTCACCAGTTCGATTCCCACACAGGCCAGTGATCTGTGCCCAAGCTGAGCTGCGCCCTCCACAAATAAGATTGAAGGACAACAACTTGGCTGTTCCCCTTCCCCAATTCCCCAACACTGTTCCCCTTCCCAAATAAAATCTTAAAAAACAAAACAAAATATTAAAAAAAAAAGCCACCTAAATTCTGACTATAAAGAACACCCCAAGAAGCAATGCTTTTACACCCAGAAGAATCCACTGCTTGGCTAATTTTCCTAGGTTTGCCCCCAAGTGCACCCCTGGAAAGCAATACTGACCTGGGGAACGTTCAGCAACGTCACCTTTATAGCCGGTTTCTTCCTCCAGCTCCCGCAGAGCAGCTGCCTCTGGGCTTTCATTATCATCTATGAGACCTGGGAGTTCAAGTTCAAGTGAGGCAGGAGAGGGAAACCCACTTTTCTTTGAACCTCTCCCTCTTCTAACATAGCTGCTGCTGAGCTACGTGAGAAGAATCAGAGGATTGTGAAAAGTGTGGTCTTATAGGTAAAACCAAGGTATGGAACTGGTATAGAAAAAAAAAAGGTAAAAGAATAAAACCCTACGCAGATGAAGTAGGTTCTGATAGCTCTCATCTGTTCCTCTTCTACCTAGATTGTTTTTCACAAAAATCTTAATACTAATGTTTTCTACAGCACCGGCAGCACTGATTTCCTGGGAGGACAAGTGGCTTGGTGGTGGCTGAGTGGCCCAGGTTTTGGACCTAGCTGTGTGACAACAGCACTAGGAGCCTGTGACTTTCTGTTTCCTCCTGTGTAAGATGGGGTCAGTGTTACCTATCTTGCCTTCCTCCCTCACAAAACAATACTGAGGCCCTGTAGTGAAATGCCAGGATGAAGGTCACCTCTGAGGGAGAACAGAAAGGACAAAACTGAAGGAGGGTGGGCTTTAGGGGACCACCGTGATCACTGTGGAGGGAGAGCCAAGTGGGACAGTAGTAACGCTGAGTCTCCTGAAAGGAATAAAAAATTACCCGAAAAAGTGAAATACAGGCTATTCAGTTACTTTTAAAGTTATTAATTTCTTCAGTGAAATGGCGAGTAAATAAGAAAGGAAATAACGTTAATTATACGTTATTATGGGATGGACTTTAAAAATACAAAACTTGGGCCGGCCGTGTGGCACGTTGGTTAAGAGTTGGCTTGGGACGCCAGCTCTGAGCAGCAAGGCCAGGGTTGAGATCCCACATGAGGGCCAGTGACACTGCCCTCTACAGCTAAGAAGGTGAACAACAGCTCGACCTGGAGCTGGGCTGCCATGAGTTGCCGGCAACGGCGTAGGCTGCAGCAGGGCTGCAGTGGGCTGCCATGAGCTACTGTGAGTGGCTGGCAGCCAATGTGAGTGGCCGGCAGCTGGCATGAGCTGCCTTGAGCAGCTGTCCAGTGGCCGGCGACCGATTGCCTCACCTGGGAAGAGTGAAATGATAATACCAACATGGGCCAATGAAGCAACGTCCTCTACAACTACACTGAAGAACAAAAGCACAGCAACTTGTCTGTTTCCCTTCCCCGATTCCCCAACACTGTTCCCCTCTCCCAATTCCCCAATAAAATCTTAAAAAAAAAAAATACAAAACTTAAACCTCTCCTGATGGTAACAACCCAATTAAGTCCTATAATAACACACTGCATAGATTCTACATAGCTTAACTTACTGTACAACTGAAACAATATTCTCTATTCCATTTATAGTTTTCGGAGTTAAGAGTCTGGCCTAGTTATTACTGTAAATTTCTTGTCAGAGGCAGATCACTATGATAGAAGATGAAGTAAGTTGACAAATGAGGGAAACGCAATTACCTAAAGAGAGGCCAGAGAGAATGTCACAAAGAGGAGAGCAGGTGGCGTGGAAAGGTGAGCTGTGACACACGCCTTGGATCGCCTCCATGGATGGAGAGACAATCACTGGGGTGTGGCTGGAGGCGCCTCATTGCAGAAAGGGTTTTGTTGAACTTGCAACCCTACAGATAAAATGGCGTCGAATGACAAGTCCCGAGATGCAGTTCTGTTCCGTGCTGGGTGACTCACCTGCGGGGAACTCCAGGCAGTAGCCTCCAATGGGTGGCCGGAACTGTTTGACCAGAACGATACACTCATAATGCAGAGTTCTTTGCAGCACTGGGATAATTGTCACACCTGTCACCAGGAAATACGATAAAGGAGAGTCCTAATGAAAGGTCAGTCATGCTAGCAATCTGCTTACAGCAATCTAACTAAAACCCGGTATTTTAAGAAACACGGCATTCGAAGTCTACCTAATATTTGCCATTCCCAGTAGGAAGTTGAAAGCCATGATATTGGTAGTTAACGTGGAAGTCATTCTCATTTGAGAATGTAATCAAAGAAAAAATAATCACACTTCCATGTTTATAAATAAGTTCTAAGTTACTTGGCCCTAAAACAAAACCCCACTGAATTCTAGAAAAAACAAACCGCCCAGGAAGAGCGCTCGCATCACCCTCCCCCCACAACTTTCCCAGCAGGGAAGAACAGCAGCTGTGGCAGCTACTCGGTTTGCTTCCAGTGAAAATCAGAACAGAATGGAAACATGAAAAGGAAAAACAAGAAGAGACCTATTGCCCAACTTCCCCTAGACCAGAGGTGGGTCTCAGGATTGTTTCTGGGACCTTTGCAGTCAAAGCATTCACGCCTGGAAGGGAAAGTGAACTGAATGAACAGTTGTTTCCTAATTCCATTTCCTCATCAACATATAAAGTGAGTCGTCAAGAGCATTTTTTAGCATGAAGTGTTAAAATAAGTTTTCCAAAGGGCTCACTGAGATCCTCTGAACAGAATAGAAAAGACTTCTACAAGTCGTAGCATATCTAGACACAGAATGTGGCTTTAAATTACACTGATTTGTGTCTGGCTATAAATATGTCTTCCCCTCAAAAAAACTGTTCAGAGCTTAGACAACAGGCTCCAGAAGTTATTTATAAACAAAATTTGATTTAGTTGCAGAGCATCGCAAAAAGGAATACTAGATTTAATGATAAAAGATCAGCGACTGATCTGCCTCACCCGGGAAGAGTGCAATGATGGTGCCAACTTGGGCCAGTGAAGCAACGTCGTCCACAACTAGACTGAAGAACAAAACGACAGCAACTTGTCTGTACCCCTTCCCCCAATTCCCCAGCGCTGTTCCCATCCCCCAATTCCCCAATAAAAATCTTAAAAAAAAAAAAAAGATCATAATTGAAGGTAATTGCTCTGAGGTCTTGGTTACAGTAGAAGGAAAAACCCTGCACCTAGCCTTACAGCGACCTTGGCTAACTTCCCTGATGAGGTTATAGTAGGTTTGCATCCATACCATCAGCTGACTGTCCTTTCCTGGTTGTACGTTTCACAGTTTCCCAAGTTCTGTTCAGTCAGAAGAAAAAACAAAATCATTAGTGCCAAAGTGAATGTTCTTAGGTTTTGAGTGTACAGCCAGAACTTTACAAATGCAAAGCATGCAAAGGTACGAATGACAAGTAATGGTCAACACAGCCCACTGTGCTGTCCTACAGCTTCTGAAAGATACCAGAGAAAACCTGCCACCCGACATCTAGCCCTCTGGGTGCTGACACTTGAGCTGCCTTTCAAATCAGTGACTGGAGAAATACTTCAGTTTGGAAGATAAATATACAGGGAGCAGCCCAGCTGGTGATCACAGTGTTCCAGGCTGTTCAGCAGTGTATGTACAATAAATACAATACGCCCGGATGAAAATTCCACAGGGCACTCTGCGTAATGAGAACCAGTGAGATAGTTATTTATACAATTCAGATGTTAAGGTCTGTGACCTAAAATATACAATTTAAGAAAGCAGGACCTTCCCATTTATTGGGTTGTCGTAAAAGTCATGACACATTTTTGCAACGAAAAACAGAAAAATATGTCATGACTTTTCCAACAACCCAATATTAATTGAGGAATTCTTAAATTTAGGAGTGCTCTTCTTTGAGTGTGTGACATCTTATCTAAGGAGGAAATGTCCCTAGAGGAAAGAGTGATATGAGTGACAGCTGGTTCCTGATCCCTTTTTTTGGCTTCATTCTGATTAGCTATTTGTTTGGGGAAACACTGCACTGAAAATCCAGCTAGTGGAACAATTGTGTTTCCAGTGGGGAGGGCATGAGGGACAATGCCCCCTTCACCCTCTCATCCTTAAATAGAAGAGAGCAGTGGTAAGAGATGGGAGTGAAGAAGCAAATAATTTTGGATTCAAGCAGAGACATCTGAGTGGCTCTGGGGACTGGGATAAGAAAGGTGTCAACATCTGTCTCCCTACAGTAATGGTGAGTGTAAGATGTACTACTTGGAGGAATCCTCATACTTTTTATCAGTTATCCTTAAGGGTTTGGATCTTGCCACATTTCTATTAAAAAAAATTTCAGATATTTAATCTAGTTTTAAAGTAAGTTTCTGTAAACTAGATATTTCAGTGTTGTACCCAAATTTTACAGGGCAAATATGTCAAAAATGAACCTGTGAAAATCAAACAGACTTTGACAACTCACAGCTGCCGACATTCCTGTTAGTAGCAAGAAGCCAACCAACAAGCACTTCTGATAAGTCAATAATACAGATTGCAAGAGACAAAACACCTTTTGATATAGCTCCCTCTGCTGCCTCTTAAGGTTAGTCCTAAAGACTGAAGAAGCCAGTGCTGGGAAAAGCACTGAGGGTCCCATCCCAAATACACTAGGAATAAGGGAAACAGAAAGAGTAGCATCATTATAGTGGTTAAGATGAGGTAAATAAGCAGTAATGAGCCATCAATTATGAGCAATAAATATAAACACATTTATAAGAAATAGTAGAACAAGAATGCCCCATGAGAGCTCCAGTCACCTAACGGGACTCTGAGACAGAGACATACACTGGACTGAATCAGACAATCTTAGTCGTCACTTGCCTACTAGCTAGGCCCATAGCCACAACCTTGAGACTTTTCTTATTTGTACAACTAGGGAATTGAGAGTATGCTAGTTCACAAGCCTCTTGTCACTTTAGAATTCTGATTCTGTTGGGTTGTCGGAAAAGTCATGACGTATTTTGTCTACGTTTTTCAAAGGTCATTCATTTATATAAAGAACAAAGATCAATCAATGATATATTGCCCGTTTTGTTCGATAACCTTTTGCCATCTTTCAGTGAGCTTCATAATTCCTCATTCATAGAAGGACCTGTCTTTATTTGCGAAAAACTGAACAAGGTGCTGATTTACATCCTCATCTGAATTGAACGTTATACCACACAAGGAGTTTTGAAAAGAGAGAAACAAGTGGAAGTCTGACCACGCAAGGTCAGGCGAGTGTGGTGGGTGTGGCAACACATCCCATCGAATCTCCAATAATTTTTGACAGGTGATCAAACTTGTGTGTGGTCTTGCCTTGTCGCGATGGAACACAATTCCTTTACAATTAACAAGCTCTGGATGTTTCTGGATGATGGATTCGTTCAAACTGTCCAATTGCCGACAGTACACATTCAAACTGATTGTTTGGTTCCTTGGTAGGAGATTGAAAAACACGACACCTTCAAAATCCTACTGAGAGCATAGCCTTCCTCTGATGAATGTCCGCTTTTGATGTTTGAGGCGAATCATCACGTCTGGACCAAGACCGTTTGTGCACCACATTGCTGTAAACAATCCACTTCTCATCACCAGTTATCAGTTGCTTCAAAAAAAGCTTGTTTTCCTCACGTTTCATGAGCATGTTGCAGATATTTATATGCGCTGTCAAATGAACTTCTTTGAGTTCATGCGGAACCCAAATATCGAGCTTGCTTACATATCCCAACTTCTTCAGGTAGTGGTGAATGCTTGAATGATGGATGTTCAATGTTTCTGCAATCTCTCGTGTCATGTAACGCAGGTTTGACTCGATCCATGCCTTTATTTTGTTGTCATCAACCTTGGTGGGCCTCCCTGACCGAGGAGCGTCGTTGAGATCAAAATTACCAGCACAGAATTTCGTGAACCATCGTTGGCACTGACATTCTTGTAGAACATTGTCACTATAAACTTCATGCAACTTTTCACAAGCTTGACACGCGTTCTTCCCTTTATAGAAGTAAAACAGTAAAAACTATGGCAAAAATGCAGTTTGGTCTTCCATCTTCAACTTGTTGTAAAATGTCCAAAACTCAATCAAATCGCTCAATTTTTTTTAGAATGAAGCTAGAACTGTCAGCTGTCAAATGACATAGTAATAACATAGATGCGAATGACTGCAGTACTTCCAAAAATGAACTAGTGCCATCTGTCATAAACATGCGTCTTGACTTTTCCGACAACTCAATAGTTAAGTTACTCCATTTTTTAGTCTTTGTTATAGAAAAGTCTATTTGGCTTTCTTCCCTCTAGTCAACTGACACAGGAGGTAGGAAGGGCCACAAAAGGATGACATCACTTCTGTCCTGAATGTCAACGAAGGGCCATACTGCCAGCTTATTTTTACAGTTGTAAAATTAGTTCCATATCCTCTTTCATGACTAAGATGGTGGAACAAAGGATTCTCTAGCTGCTATTGTATCCTTATGTACATGCTTTTATATGAGGTAATAGATAAAACATTTTATAAATCTGTGAATCACAGCCTGCTGTCAAGTACAGAGCGTCATCCTTCCAAGCTTGACATTGTGTGAAACGTTAATGCTGCACGTAAGACCGCTTTAGAGGCTGCGAGGAAGACCTACGTGAGGAGCTGGAGGTGAACACATGAAGGCCATGTGAGCAGAGCCTTGGTAGGCTCTAGAACCTGCTCCCGACTGACTGGTGCAGACTCCGCAGGGGACACATAGTGGGAGTGTTGGAAATAATCCCCTAATGATTCTGCCCCACATCCCTATCGCAGGAAGGGAGGAAGAGGGGTCAGGTGAAGAGACAAGGTAGTGAGAACCAACACATGTTCCTTAGACGAGTATTAAGGGTGTTGTGTTATAAACGTAAACGTTATAGGGAAGGGGACCAAATGGTGTCACTGCAGGTTGGGTTCTAATCTGTCTATATTTTCACAAATAAAAGTACATTTGAACATACTGTGCTCCCTAAGGCTTGTTGGGCCTTGCCACATTTCTGAATCCCCTACTTAGTTCATCTTTAGGTCTATACATCAGCCTCATTGTAAATAATAGCTATACTCTTCCACTGTGGTGATGGATCGTAGTGTGTTTATCTTTCTTATTTTTGGTTTTTAATTTAATGGTGTTATAATATCTTAATGTTTCCCATAACACTGGGCCTTATTAATATTTTTGCTGGTTTAGTAGATGTAATCAAAAGTTTAAATTACTCGCAAGTCCACGTGCTTTTGCATTGGTGATAGATGTATTACCTCACAAGGAAACTCTATTCTTATTTGATCACTTAGCAAATGGAGTTTTTATATTAATTTACATCATATAATCTAGATATTACATTTAGTTACATTTTCATATTTTCTCATTGTTTTATTTTTTATATTTCCCTAAATGCTTAATCTATTTTAACACATTTTGTCTGATATTTAATATAAAAAAAATTCACTGAACAGAAAATCTGGAAAATAAAAGAAAAAAGATTAATCACACAGCTGCCATTAATATTTTGCTAGTTTTCCTTCTAGCCTTTTCTTACACATTATTTGGCAGAGTTTTAAAAGCACACATGTAATTTTGAATTTTGTTATCAACTCATTAACTTTTCTCATATTGCTAGTTGTCTTCATAATCTGCTTTGTAGGTGGTTGCATAGATTTTACCAAATGAATACACTATAACAATTATTTCTCTATTTTTTTTTTTTTTTTAGATTTTATTGGGGAATTGGTGGAGGGGAGCAGTGTTGGGGAATTGGGGAATGGGACCAGCCAAGTTGTTCTTCAATCTTCGTTGTAGAGGGCACCAGTCGCCATCTGGCTGCCCGTCGGCAGCTTGTGGTGTCTAAGCTCAACGTGCCGAGTTCAATCTTAGTTGCGGGTGGGCATAGCCACCATCCCATGTGGGAATTGAACCAGCAGCCTTGTTGTTAAGCGCGCAGGCTGTATCCACTGAGCCTTCCGGGTGGCAGCTCAGCTCAAGGTGCTGTGTTCAGTCTTAGTTGCAGGTGGGCATAGCCATCATCGAACAGGCAATCTTGTTGTTACACCAGCTGAGCCATTCTGCCACCTGTTGGCAGTTCAGCGACAGCTCAGCTCGGGCGCAGCGTCACTGGCCCATGTAGGAATTGAACTGGCAGCCCTGTTGCTCAGAGCTCACGCTCTTAAGCCAACTCTTAACCAAATGAGCCACTTGGCCGGCCCTATTTTTCTATTTTTTTTAATGTTCAGGTTGCTTTAGATTTATTTGTCTTTTTAAGTTTTGATGAACCTTTTTCAGGCCTAAATCTGATTCCAAATAGTTTTCTTAGCAGAGTCTCAGGCCCCATGGTGACCTGGTCCCAAACTCTCCCCTCACGCCATACCTTTATGGCATATGATACATATTGTGAAATGCTTTACAAAACGTTTTCTTTTCCAATTTACATTTCAACATGCAACATGTAAGCATATAACTTTTACCTCAAACCCAGAAATGTTTCCTCTTTAATTCTTCTAATTTATAGATTAGAATTGGTTTACCTAGAAGGAAGCAACCTGTAGTGTTAATCATTTTGCTGCTTTATCAGCTTAAATTAGGCTTGTCCCCAAAGTTTTAGGTTCACACTAATCTACTTGGACAGAATGGTGTTAAAGTAGATTTCCAACTAGTTACTGTAACAAATTTACAACGTAATTTTTTTTCAGAGATTATAAGTGATTCAAACATTCTAACAAGGCGAAAACAGCTACATTCTATTTTTTTATTTAATATAGAGTCTACAATGAGGAAAATATCAAATTTATGGCAAACAGTAAATAGGGACCCTGAGAACCCAAATACTGAGCATTTTATAAAAGAAAAAAATAGTTTACCTTTTTTTACCAGTAGGATCCATGTAAGTTGTTTTTTCAAGCTTGACCCATTTTCCTTCTGCAGTTAACTAAAAGGAGACCAGATGATGATAAGCTGGGAAACTTTCAAATTGAGTTGTTTTTCATTTAGGTTCCCCCCCCCCCACGTTTTCTCTATGTGGCCCTCCCAATTATCATGTTTTCTTTCCAGTAATTCCTGTCCAAGTTTTCAGTTGAGCGTATTAAAACGTGTTGCCTTGAAGGGTGGTTTTGCTTCTGTTTGGAGTTTTGGAGGTAGTACTGAGAGGTGAAAAGAAATTATCTGTTGGGGGAGGGGTGAGGAGGGATGACTCCAGATATGTGGAAGGGAGCACAAAGGAGTGAGGTGTTCTCCGGGAGGCTCCGCATGGTCTGGCCTCTGTTCTGGGTGCTAGTCACATAGGTGTGTGTGTTTAGCATGTAAACTCATCAGTGACATTTTACTGTCAGCGACTACACAACAAAGCTGCCTATGGGGAAACGGTGTCCAGTGACTGGAATTCCCATAATGACACCTGGGTTTCCCACCCAATCTGAGAGGCACCCCAGCATCGCTCTGCCTAGACAGTGAGGAGTTTAGGTTACCAGCACTAACTTAACCATGGCACCTTACTGCACTAACAGGAAGGTGTCACTGTGGATATAAAGTAGTAGATGCTTCTGACTATCTGACCTTTTACTTCTTTTTTAGTTTTTTTTTTTTTTTTTAGCTGAGCCATCCTGCCACCTGTTGGCAGCTCAGCGGCAGCTCAGCTCGGGCCGTGAATCAAACCGGTGTCCCTGTTGCTCAGAGCTCACACTCTTGAGTGAGCTCTCATCTTTTACTTCTTACCAGCAGCAACCTAATAATTACCAGCAAATCTATTTACATGTAACATGGAAAGATTTTTAAATCAAAAAGAAGCGCAGGAAGGTGTCAAGATCAGAGTTCCAAGATGAAGGATATAAAATGTATCCACTGCAGTGGTATCTACTGGAAGAGCCTTTTTAAAAGCTAAATTGAGTAACATACAAGACATACAGTAGTTCTGGAATGCAGACTACGTCTAAGAACATAGGTTTTAATTGCTCTTATACATACTGAGACCATAAACAGCTAATTAAGATGCAATACCTAAGTAGGAAGTATCTAAGCGCTAAAACTCACTTATGATTTATTCTTCTACCCAGGGAAGCTTCTAATAAAAACTGAGAGTTTTGATATCAACAGCCAAAATCCACTTTAAAAAGTCTCAATTTCACTAGTACATGTAATTGGGAGGGAAACGCTACCACTTCCACATGAGCACAATGTCCCTAAGTCCTAAAAAGGTAGCAGGAACAATGTTTAAAAACTTTTTAAGAATTAAAAACAACCACTGGAAAACACAGTCTATATACATTGCTTGGAGATGTGGTTTTATGTGGGGAGGGCGAAGGGAAGTGAAAAGCCATTTATACCTCCTCTGAAATAACAAACTGTTTGGTATTTTGAGAAGAATCCATTGGTTCCTGGTTTTCCATGTTCAGATCAGTTAAGTCTTTCTACCGTCCTCAGGGAAGAAGTTCACGCTGCAAGAGAATGAGATTTATTTAGGCTACTTTTATTTTTCTAAATGAAACATTTGTTCATAGGCCACTGGGTTACAACACTTTAATGGTAAAAAAACTAATCTGTCATCAAAGCTGCTTTTCTCGTGTGAGGATCTGGGAGAACTGCCCCAGATGGAAGAGTCCACACAAAGGTCCTAGAAACATTCAGGGAAGAACGTAAAGCCATCCCAGTCAGGTCCAGCCCGTGGCAGCTATATTCCTACTGCGTACGTACTAGGACTCCAATCTTAGATTTTCAGACCCTGAATTTAAAAAACTTTCCAAGGGGGAACAGCACAAAGATTGTATACCACTCCCCAGTTCCCCCCAACCCCCATTGTCCCTCATCAATCCTTTACAACCAGGAGTGTGTGGGCTGGCTGTGTCTATCTTCCATTTATCTTTTTTTTTAACTTGTAAATTGATATACCATTTTAATAATTTGAAAATGTACAGTTCAGCAGCATTAAATACATTCACATTGTTGCGGTGCATAATAAGTTAATCAGTACTACAGGATCTGGGTTGACAAAAGCAGCCCCAAGTGAAGGGTATTACTACTCTTTCTTCTATTTTGGCTAAATCCCTTTATTTCTGTACCCTGAATATCTGAACATCTTTTTTTTCTACTCTCAAAGTTGACTGATAATCTGGTTGCATATAGAATTATGGGCTGAAAATAATTTTCTATCAGAAATTAGGAGGTGATGCTCAGTTGTCTTGTTTCCGGTATTGCTGTTGAGAAATCTGAAGCCTGGTCGGCCGAGTGGCGTGTTGGTTAAGAACTGGCTTGGGACACCAGAGGGACCCGGTTCGGATCCCACATATGAGGGCCTGTGACACTGCCTTCCACAGCTAAGATGCTGAACAACAGCTCAACCTGGAGCTGGGCTGCTGTGAGTCGCCGGCGACGGCGTAGGCTGCAGCCCCTGCGGCAGTGGGTTGCCATGGGCTACCGTGTGAAGCCAGCAACCAGCATGAGCGGCCAGCAGCCGCAGTGAGCGGCCGTCCAGAAGCCGGTGACTGATCTGCCTCGCCCGGGAAGAGCGCAATGATGGTGCCAACTTGGGCCAGTGAAGCAACGTCCTCCACAACTAGACTGAAGAACAAAACGATAGCAACTTGTCTGTTCCCCTTCCTTCAATTCCCCAGCACTGTTCCCATCCCCCCAATTCCCCAATAAAAATCTAAAAAAAAAAAAGAAAGAAATCTGAAGCCATTCTGATTCTTGACCCTTTTCCTCTGCGCCTTGTTTTCTTTCTCTGGAATCTTGTTGTTATTCACATCTTCATGTTGATTTTACTGTAGTGGGTCCTCAAGTAGGTCATTTCCTTCTGGAAACTTCAGACTATGCTTCTTCGTGGAGAAGTTATTCCACTGGTAATTTCCTCTCCTCCATTTTCTCTGTTCTCTCTTTCAGGGACTGATATTTAGCTGTTGGGCTTCCTGAATTGATCCTTTGTCTTGTCTTTTTCATTCCTATTTCCCATTTCCTTGTTATTTTACCTACATTTCTCAGTGGCTATTCCAACCCTTCACTCCTCTTAAGTTCCATAGTTGCCTAACCTACCTACCCTACCTCCCAATTTTAGCTCCTGGGAAAATACAGCATATTAATAAGCATCATCGCCTCTCTTACCAACTGTTGTAGAGGAAAAACTGGCTTTGCTCTGTTCTTCTGGGACCTACAGTGATAATTAAACTACCCATCACATCTCCAATTTTTACCTCAGACATCAAGTTTCCCCTATCCTAAAACACAACCAATAAAACAAACAACCTTCTCATAACCCTGTTCTCTCCTCCAACCTTGCCGGACTTCTTGAAACAGACAATACTACTGTGTATATCTTTACTCAGCCCATTGCATTCTCCTCCTCTAATGATATCTACCCATCACCCCCAAGCTAGAAATATAAGAATCTCCAATCCCTATTCTTTACCAACCATAACATTACAAGTCCTAAAAAGTCTACCTCTAACATTTCTCAAGAGTCCTATTTCTACCATCACTGCTCCCAATTGGGATGAAATGATTTCCAAAACTATCACCCAGACACTAGATTTTTCTTTACGTTGTCCCAACTTTCAACATTACTCACAGTTAGGTTGCTATAAAAACTCCCTGAAATCACCACTTAAGAAATGAAGGAAGGAAGAAAGTGAATTTGGCTGAATAAGTCTAGGTAGTCATTCTGTTCCTAAGAGTTAGGTTAGTGTGGGGCCGGCTTATACTTGTTCTGAGAGTAATAGCTCCTCACCCACTTGTCTGTGTTTGACTAACTTAAATTCAATTTCAAAATTATCTTGGCACAAAGTTAAAAGAATCACACCACTTGATTTAAAAACTTACTATAAAAGCCACAGTAATCAGATGGTGTGGGTACTAACATAAGGATAGACATAAGAGTTCCTACAATTAAGTTTCCGAACTTGTTGCAACAATGTTGCTAACCTTTTTTGATACCAGAGGGATTATTCATTATGAATTTGTACCAAGTAGACAAACAGTTTTGGAAGTGCTGAAAAGGCTGTGTGAAAAAGTTAGATGAAAACGACCTGAACTTTTCACCAACAATTCATGGCTCTTGCATCATGACGATGCACCAGCTCACATGGCACTCACTGCCTGTGAGGGAGTTTTTAGCCAGAAAACAAATAACTGTATTGGAACACCCTCCCTACTCACCTGATCTGGCCCCCAATGACTTCTTTCTTTATCCGAAGATAAAGGAAATATTAAAAGGAAGACATTTTGATGACATTCAGGACATCAAGGGTCATATGACAACAGCTCTGATGGCCATTCCAGAAAAAGAGTTCCAAAATTGCTTTGAAGGGTGGACTAGGCCCTGGCGTTGGTGCATAGCTTCCCAAGGGGAGTACTTCAAAGGTGACCATAGTGATATTCAGCAATGAGGTATGTAGAACCTTTTCTAGGATGAGTTTGCGAACTTAATTGTTAGACCTTATATACATTGACGGAACAGAACTGAGAGTCCAGAGTTAAACGCATAAATTTATGGTTAATTGATTTTCAGCAAGAATGCCAATTCTGGGGGGAAAAAATAGTCTTTTCAACAAATTGTTCTGGGACTAGATACACACATAAGAATGAAAATGAACCTATACCTATACCATATATAAAAACTCAAAATGGATCCAAGACCTAAATATAAGAGCTAAAACCAAAAAACTCTCAAAAGAAAACATAAGCATACATCTTCATGGTCTTGGATTAGACACTGGTTTCTTAGATGTGACAGCTAAAGCACAAGCAACTAAAGAAAAGATAAATTAGACTTCATTAAAATTAAAAACTTTTGTTTTTCAAAAGATGCCATCAAGATAGTAAAAAGACAATTCACAGAATAAAAAAAAAAAGTTTGCAAATCTGGTAGACTTGTATCTGAAATATTAGGTTGTCGGAAAAGTCCTGATGTATTTTTTCTATGTTTTTCGTTGCAAAAAATGTGTCATGACTTTTCCGACAACCCAATATGTAAAAAATTCGTAACACAATAATTAAAAGACAAATAACTTAAATGAAAATAGCCAGAGGATCTGAATAGATGTTTCTCCAAAGGGCTACAAATGGCCAATAAGCACATGAAAATATCCTCAATGTCACTGGCCATCACAGAATGGCAAATCAAAAGCACAGTGAGACACCACTTCACCCCCACTACGCTAGTTATGATAAAAGAACGTAAATGTTTGTGAGGATGGGGAAAACCTGGGACTTTCATACACTGCTGGTAGGAATGTAAAAGGGTGCAGCCACTTTGAAAAACAGTCTGGTAGTTCCTCAAAAGGATAACCAGAGTTCCCACATGACCCAGTAATTTCACTCCTAGGTATAGAAGCAAGAGAAATGAAACAGGGCCAGCCGAGTGGCGCGATGGTTAAGAACTGGCTTGGGACGCCAGAGGGCCCTGGTTCGGATCCCACATATGAGGGCCAGTGACACTGCCCTCCACAGCTAAGATGCTAAACAACAGCTCAACCTGGAGATGGGCTGCTGTGAGTCGCCGGCGACCGCGCAGGCTGCAGCCCCTGTGGCAGTGGGTTGCCATGGGCTACCGTATGTAGCCAGCAGCCAGCGTGACCGCAGTGAGCGGCCGTCCAGAAGCCAGTGACTGATCTGCCTCGCCCGGGAAAAGCGCAATGATGGTGTCAACTTGGGCCAGTGAAGCAACATCCTCCACAACTAGACTGAAGAACAAAACGACAGCAACTTGTCTATCCCCTTCCCCCAATTCCCCAGCACTGTTCCCATCCCCCCAATTCCCCAATAAAAATCTTAAAAAAAAATGAAACATACGCTCACATGAAAACGTGTACAGAAATGTTAATGGAGGTATTATTCCTAATAGCCCCAATGTGGAAATAATCTAAATGTCTATCAATTAATGAATGGATAAATAAAATGTGGTATTCCATACAATGGAATATTATTGAGCCATAAGATGAAATAAAGCTTTGATTCATTCAACATGAATGAACCTCGAAAACATTATGCTAAGTGAAGAAGTCAGACACAAAAGGCCAAACATTACATGGTTGCATTTACATGAAATGTCCAGAATAGGCAAATCCATAGATACAGAAAGCCAATTAGTCGTTATGAAGGGATGTGGGGGAGGACTGCTTATGGGTATAGGGTTTCTTTTTGATGAAAATGTTCTGGAATTAAGTAGTGGTGATTGTGGCACAATCTTATGAAAATGCTAAAAACCACTGAATTGTAGAGTTTAAGGTAAATTAAGGTATGTGAATTGCATCTCAATAACCAGCACCTTTGCAGTCTCAAAATCCCCAAAAGACAAATGTTCAGGATAGTTGGGTTGCTGAAGGTCACCTTGGGTCCAAAGATTGAGAAAGCCAGGAGACTAGGCAAGTTCGCCTTGGCCTCGGCAGGCTAGTGATGCCTGGCACTGCTGTACCAAGCAACCACTCCACTGTTATCTGGGTACATA